TGTATTGGAATTTCGATAAGATAAACATGGTAGTACTTGTACTAAAATCTAGCGATAAGTGAGACTTGAGTGTTTATAATAAGCAACCAATTAAATTGCACAAATTGTTAATAAATCATTAAATGTCATAAAATGTCATGAAATGTTGTTATTAAGTACCTGCCAATGGCAAATTATAAATTGCTTTTGAATTATAGAATTCTTCTTTATGGAAGTCTTTTTAATAGAAGAGTGCCTATTTAGTAGAAAATTTAGGTTCCACAAAACTAAATTTTTTTCAGTTATCTTCAAAAGTAATAACTCTGATAACATTCAAAGCTCAGAAGGATTGACCAATGGAGTCATTGAATATATCGATAAAAAATTCGACTACGTAAAAGGTTGTATGATATATGAAGCAATAATTCGATAATAGAAAATGTCATATGACACATATTGAATAATACAAAAACTAAAACTAATAATTAAAATTCATATATATATATAAATTCTTTACTTAACAGTTTCTATGAATATAAAATTAATTAATATATTGTACATATAACACTAAAAAAGTACTTACTTAGTTGACTATTACAGACGTGAGTCGTCTTTGGCCACGTCCAAAAGCCTCCGTTAGCCAGCTTGAGGTTTGCAGTCCCCAGTTTGTTGTACCGAGTGTTTTCATGTCATTGGTCACCTCGTTCTTCCACCGAAAATTTGTACACCCTCTATCGAATTTACCATTTGTGGGTACCAAATCAAACATCTTTCTAGCCAGAGCACTTTATTTATAGGCACAACATGATATATAATTATATCAATGTTGCGGTATAGGTTATACAGCTCATCGTTCTATCTAATTTGATAGTCGTTAATAACGTATTAGGGACCATAGATGTAACCAAACATTTTATCTCCAATTCTTCTAATACTTTCTCATCAGTATTGATAATTCGGAAAGCTTCTTTAACATACAGCATTTCTTGCTGTCCGGCATAATAATAGACTTGTAGGGCGTGAGCTTTGCTTGTTAAGAGAAAGCCTTATTTCTCAATTGTGTATTTAGCCCAAAGTATATTTGCCAAACATTTGGCAAGTGTGATTATTCGTTCAATCTCTGGACCCACGTCATTGTTGACAACGAACAAGTCCCAAAACAGTCAGGAATTTGTTTTGTTGGCAGAAATTACTTTGATTTCTCCTTATTGACTACAAGGCTGATTCGGTGGTAATTGGTACCGTTTGTAAGATCATTTTGTTTTATGGATTGAGCAGAGGTCACATAAACAAAAAAAATTATATTAATAATCACTTCCCTGTTTTATGGTTTTTGCGAATATAAAATGAATTAAGATATATATATATATAGTACATTCTACCACCTTTTATGGTTTCCTTATTTTATGGTTATTGTGAATATAAAATGAATTAAGAAATATATATATATATAGTATATTCTATCACTTTTTATGGCATTATATCTAAACCAAAAATATACTACGAACCAAAAAAATATTAAATTTGTTTTGTAAGAATCAACATTAATATCTTTAGGGCAATACAATATTTTGCGGACCTGTGGTTGAAAAACTCTAGTTTGTATTTGATGTTAAGATATACGTATATATGCGTATATTAAATATGAGTATGAGTTCAACCCTTGTACTTGCAGTCTCAAAAAATTATTTACGAATAATTAAATATATGAACTAATTTAAGACCACTGATGATGGGTATTTGGCAATACTCGAAACAGCTATATGGTCATCCAAAAATTTAATTAATTAAAATATTATGAAAAAATTTTTGTTGTTGTAGTTCACAACTTTACGAAACCTCTCTACATAACTTAATAATATTAATATTAATATTATATAATACTTATATTATATATAATATTAATATTAATAATAGTTATAAATATTTTGTGTCTTAATATCAACATGGCGACCAATTGTCTTCTCAATACTTTACCATTTTTTGATTGCTAATGGACCGGTAGCTGAGCAACTTATATATATAAATATCATCTTAAAGTATTGACTTAAAACAGTCAATAGTTTCATTTGCATTTTACCCATTTTATGATGGTGGTTAAAAACTGTCGGTAATGGTTGATGTTTATATGTATATGAATTATATATATATATATATATATGAATTATCTTAGTAGCAATTATTAATGTTCCAATTCATAAGCTCAATAATACAGCCAATAGCACTTCATGAGCATTTTATCATTTTTATTATTATTTGTTTATAAATATAAGTTTCTTTACGATAGTTATTGACTATTAAGGCGGTGTGCGAATTTGAGTAAATTGATGGTAAATTGAGGGAAATAGTAAATTATGTCGATATGGTAGCGAATGTTGGTATTTACCAGTATTTACGAGTAGGATAAATTAGATAAAAATTAGGTAAATTAGGTGTTACCATTGTGAAAATATTTTAAGATGTTTATGTTAATAAATAAGTTAAAAAATTTGAAAATTTTTATTCAAAAATAATAAATAAGTGCAAAAAATCCTTAGAGCCTTAGAAATTACAATATCTTCTTCTTTAATTGTTTATACAAAAATTTAATGTTATACAATCATATAAATTACAATATGTTAGAAATAATTTTTTTGAAGTTCTCTCTGTCTCTGAACCCAGTCCAGTGTTGGATGTTCCTCAACCAACACATTTATTTTCTTCCCATGTCGCGTTTGCTTTCAATTCTACTTTCAACAATCAGTTGCAGCAATTCATATGTTGGACCTCGATTGATATGACCAAAATACCACGTTTTTCTTATTTTGATAATTTTTAGAAGTTCTCTATCTTTTCTTAATCTTGTTAGAACTTCTTCATTTGAAACTTTGTCCGTCCAAGCAATCTTCAGAATACATCTGTAGCATCACATTGCAAACGTTTCAATTTACACGAACTCGCACACGGTCTAAAACATTATTTCATTATGTATAATTACATTGTGTATATCATTATGTATAATTTCATTATGTATAATTACAAGCGGTAATGTTCCACTTTTAAGTCTAAAGAAAATCCACTAATAAATGTTTATGTCATTTTTAATATAAAAATCTATTTATGAAATTGGAAAAAATATTCCTAACATAACCATTTTACCAAGAATTTAGAAGCTGTAGAAAAAAAGTTCCCTTTTACACATTTTCTGAATGACAATCGAAGTTGAAGTCTAAGTCTAAGTCGAAGTCGTAGTCTAACAATAGTTTTCGATACTTAGCGAGCATTCAGCATTAATTTTTCATCTTCAAAATTCAAAAATGAATTTCAAAAAGACAATTAAAATCAAATTCGGTAGACAAAATTGAACAAAAGACTTATCATCACTTATCTTTGGCGTGTGCTTCTGTGCCGAAATGATCCGAACTGGTAAAAACCGTATCTGTTTGTTTTGAATTGAAATGAAATAGGTTTTAGCCATTTTAATAAGCCGTGCTATAAACTTGTTCAATACTTTACATGATGCCAGCTTGTAAAACCCTGAGCAGCAGATTTCTATAGCTTGTGAAATACGCGTTTGACTGAATATTAATAGATTTCTAATCTCAGCGCACGGCAAGTACAGAAGCACAGAGGCACAGAGGCACAGAAGCACAGAAGAGCACAGAAATTATGGAAAAAACCTCAGGAGTTCACCGTAACATCGCTCGCTGCTGATGTTTTGTGTTTTATTAATAAAGTCAAGCCAGAAATAAAAATTAAACGTAAATCGT